CGTTCGACAGTATGGAGTCGCTCAAGAAGCATCACCTTGATGCTTTCACTTGGATCGGCAAAACCGGTGAGGATGTGACAAGACTGAGGTACAAGAAACTGGGGGCCATCCGCAAACTGAGCAAGAGTGCGCAAATTCTGAACAGGCAAAAGCAGCTTGATCAAGAGTCTTCTTGGACTGCAAAGAAGCTAGGCAATCATTTCCGTGTTGCGCTGATGGAAGCTTTGCAAGAAATGGTTGGAGTGGAGGACAAAGCCATCCCAACCCTTTGCAACCAGGGGCTTGCCATTGTCGGTGACGCGCTGGAGTCGCCTTTCTTTGAACCGTTCCACGAGGCGCAGAAAGTTACCCTGTCAGAATTCCTGTCCTCAGCCCCGAAAAGGCGCGAGGCGATGATGATCCGAAGGGTCTTGCGAATGGGTCGCAGCGGGCAAGCCAACGCCATCTGGCAGAAAACTCAAAAAGAAGTTGAGACGGGGTCAATGAGTGCGCCTCTGTCCGAGGAGGAGCTGAGAAAACGGCGCGGAAATTACTTTAATGTGGTGCCCAGCTTCGGCCTCGAGCAAGGAGTGGACGCAAACGGCGAGCCGAAATTCCGCTGCATTGACGACCACACAGCTGGATGGTGTAATTTGGCAGCCAGGCGTTTGCGAAAGATCAGAATGAGCTCGGTGGATTACATCGCAGTCATGGTCAGGTCCGGACAGAACTTGGCGTATCGGCAAGTCCCGCTCTCACCGTCAGCCGTCATGGCAGCCATCGCAGCAGTTTATGACCCAAGCCAGGACAGGGTGACTCTGCACGAAATATACGGGCAACCGTTCGGCGCGGGGCATGCTGTCCCTAACTTTTACAGGGTTGCAGAGTGGTTTGCTGTGGTCGCTAGCCGCCTTTTCCACATCGCCGTCGATCATTTCTTTGATGACTTTTGGATTGCGGAACCAAGCAGCACCGTCAAGAGCGCTCTGCGCTGCTTCAGGGAACTTGCTGCCTTGCTCGGCTTTGAGTTCGACCCTGCCAAAGTCCAACAGCCTGGCAGTGTGCTGGAAGTACTTGGCGTCGTTTTCGACCTCAGCGCAGTAGCTGCAGACGGCAGTTTTGCGGTCAGGCCGAAAGCCGGCCGAGTGCACGCGTTGCAGTGACCTGCTCGAAAATTTCGGGACAGATCGCCGAACATTTCGTCCATAACGGCCTGCGGGGGTTCGGCGGGTTGGTGAGAGCCATATAGTACGTATAGCACATATAGCGAAACTATGCATGGTGTGCATAGTTTCATATATCCGGGTCGTGGTCAGCGAGACACTCCCGTGGCCGACCTGCGCACGACGCTCGAAAATTTCGGGACAAATTGCCGAAAATTTTGCTTCGGGTGGCGCGGGCTCGGTATCGTTGACGTTCTCCAGCAAATTAGCAGTGGAGGACGTTTTCCTCCACTGCTATTCCGACCTCGGTGGGAGAGCGAAGTCGGAATTCCGGCCTCGGTGGGAGAGCGAAGTCGGAATTCCGACCTCGCAGCCATTGGCAAAAAAGCGCGCTGCAGTCCTCCTCGCACGGGAGGACTTACATTTTTCCGACCTCGGGTGGCGCGGCTCGGCAGGCTGGAGGCTTCGATGCCAGGCAGAGGCTTCGATACCCGGCAGGGACGTGGCGCGCCGTATGACCGTACGACCGTATGATCCGTATGATTCGTATGACTCGGCAGGCTGCGTGGCTTTGATGCCGGGCAGGTGGCGCAGCAGGGTGGAGGCTTCGATGCCGGGCAGGTGGCGCGGCAGGGTGGAGGCTTCGATGCCAGGCAGGTGGCGCGGCAGGGTGGAGGCTTTGATGCCGGGGCAGGTTGCGCGGCAGCGGAGGCTTTGATGCCAGGCAGGTGGCGCGGCAGGGTGGAGGCTTCGATGCCAGGCAGGTGGCGCGTCGAGTCAAAGTCCAACTTGGCCGACGGCCCCAAGTCGGTTAGACTTTTCGGTCGTGCGCAGTATGAGTCTGCAGCAGGTTCCTGCCGTTCCTACTGCGGCGTTGACGCCCCACCTACGCCCGTCGGAATGGTTGGCGAGACCAAATTGACGGGGGGGAGAGAAGCCCCACCAACCACACGCATGGAGAAGGGTGGGGGGTCTCCCCAGGAAAGGGGACACGCTGGGCATCCTGAGGGGTGCTAGTGTCCAACCAGCGCTTGCTCGGGGCGCAGAGGTTGAGATCCCAGCTGTAAATGGCCCTCGCCGCCGTTCTCCATAGACCGATTTCAAAAGAGGAAAGGAGCAAAGCGGGCGAGCAGCTTTGGCGGTGCGAAGCCTGCTCTGGAGGAGTTGCAACAAGGGGCCGTATTCGCAGAGCGTGCATGAAATGTACGACGGTGAATGCTGCCCAGGTAAACACGACGGGGCCATTTTGGCTTAAGTCGGCCTTGCTGCAACTTTCGTCTGTCTTTGTCGCTCTTTTTCTCCCGCCCGCCCGCTCTGGGAGAGAAGGGTGGGGGGTCTCTCCAGGAAAGGGGACACGCTGGGCATCCTGAGGGGTGCTAGTGTCCAACCAGCGCTTGCTCGGGGCGCAGAGGTTGAGATCCCAGCTGTAAATGGGCCCTCGCCGCCGTTCTCCATAGACCGATTTCAAAAGAGGAAGAGAGCAAAGCGGGCGAGCAGCTTTGGCGGCGCGAAGCCTGCTCTGGAGGAGTTGCAACAAGGCTTCCAGTCGGAACATATCAATCCACTTTCAGTCTAAGCGCCTGATTCACAACCCACCGACAGCACAAGTGCGGAGTGCTGACCGAGGTGCTGCGAGCCCGCATACTGTGAGGAACGGTTGAATGTGGCAACAGACCGCACGACAACCAAGCCCTCATGGATCAAGAGGAGTGAACAGAATTCAGCGAGTGTGGCCACAGGACTTCGACTGTCCCACATCGACAAAGTACAGGACGGGCAGTCGTTGGCTACTGGATTGCTTTGCTGCGAACATGTTTGTTTGTATTCAGGCCATTGAATTCCACGTCCTGGGCTCAACTTGCATCTAAGCTTTTTCTCCCTGTGTGAGACACCGACCCAATGCACAGGAGTGAAGGTGGCGAGCGTCGCCGTGGGAATTCTCCAGCCACCTGCTGTGAAGAGCTCAAGTGCCAGGACTTTGTATAGGTGTTTTTACAATTTGAACTCTTTGGGCTTGCAGCTTCAAGCCTCTTCAGGAGGGATCGCTCAAAGATGTGCAAGAGGTAAGGTGTTTAGCTCCTTTGGCCATGCAGGATCACAACTGCTCTGCGGGCTGGGGACTGAAAACAACCCACCACACCTTGCTGGGCAGCACAGATGCCGAGTGCTGCGAGCAGCGACTTGCCTGCAAGCGGATTGGCTGCAAGAGTCCGTGTCCAGTAATTTCGTGCGTTGTATTCAAGGAAAAACTGTGGCGACTACAAGTGCAGCAGCGACACCAAGTGGGTGCACAAGGCAAGGGAATGGCGACCTAGTCATGAACTTCTGATACCGGCAAATGGCCTCACAATGCGATGCAAGCTCGTGAGGGACGAGACTTGTGGCATAACTGACCTTGCCACTTGCACACCCCTCCTGCTTGGTTTCGACTGTCTAGCAAATATTCTGTGTCAGGCGTTGCCTTGTCCATCCTTGAATCAGGCAACGGTACTGGAAAAGGTGGATCACAGAGGCGATAGTGACGAAGAGTGCTGCGTGCCGGCCTCAGCCTTTGGGAGTCGCTATCAGCCCCTGGGCAATTTGACGGGCGACGATTCGTTGGGCAGGAGCCGATTTTTTGCGAGAATTACCACTGCTTGCTAGCCCCTGAGTCAAGCCGCATTTCGCACAGATGGCGTTTTTGAGCGGTTGGACGGCTCTTTTGAAAACGCCGTCAGTTTCTGCACGTCAAGGCCCGTTAGCCAGTACAGGAAGAATGTAAACGTCTCTGGGCTGCAAGGCAGCTCTATTGAGGAGAGGGTCAACTGATGCGGAGATGAAGTAATGTGAGTGAGCTGTGCTTGACAGGAATGCTGTGAGCCAATTTATTGCGAGGCCCATCGTGATTCAAATTCATTGTGGAATTGGGGTGCAGCATGTGTCTTCTGCAGCCGGTCTTGAGCGGGCAGGCCTTCAATTGCACGGGCGACTTTGATGGTGACGGCGATAGCAGTGCTTGGTACAAGAAGAAGGCGCAACTTTGATTTGGTCATCCGCAGCTCTTGTGTCAAAGGGTCATAGTGAACGCATTCAGGAGGGGGACTCGCTACTCAACTTAAGAAAGCAGCAAACTCATCAATTTTCCTGATGGGGGGACAAACCAATTTGACTGAGAGCGTAGCAGTTTGCAGGACACCAACAACCACAAGTACATAGGCAGCACAGATGAGGAATGCTGCGTGCCGAAATTCTGCAGCAACTTGCCCGCAGTGCGAATTTACCGTTGGCAATACGATATTAGTGCACCAGTGATGTTCTCGCGAGGCCAGTACACTACGCAATTTCCAAGCAAATATACGAGGACCATTCTGCCAAAGAACTAACGGTGCTACTGCAGGGGAGCATATGTGATTGCCAATTTGCCGCAGGAAATCAGGCAACCATGTGTTGGGGAGCACGGACTTTGAGTGCTACGATCCACGCTGGTGCAAGGACAGAGCGACGGTTAATTTCTGATTTATCATGCTTGACGTCGTATGGCAGGACTATCAGTGCCAGAACTCTAGCAAGGTTTTGAAGCCGTGGCTTGTCTTTATCCTGTTGTGTCTTAGTCACGGGGCTGTTGCTCGGGGTCAGCATGTTCTTGCTGCAGGTGTGAGTTGAACCTGCTCGGCAGCTCTGACGAGGAATGTTGTATGATTCCGGTCAAATCTGCCTGATGACAGCTGAGCTTGCATATTGAAGCTCCCGCCCGCATGCGAACAGCGCATGTGGGCTTGCCTAGAGCTTCGGCATCAAACAAGTGCTTGCTGCAGCTATCGAGGCTGACTTATCTGCCTTCGCATGTGTCATGTGTTTGTCAAGCCGGCTCTTGCCAAGGTTCCAAGAACCCCCCAGGAGCGCTCCCTTGCATCCCTTTGCCAAGAAATGAATATTTGAATGTTGGAGGAGAAGAACGGCCGCCAATGGGAAGCAACGGCCTCACCCAGCTTTGTCTTACTCCTTACTTGCAACCGGCTTGTGCTTGAAGCTTGCAACCGGCTTGAACAAGCACAAACATTTGCGGCTTGCCTCAGGTCCACCGGTGACACCAGCAAGGAAAAAGAGACGCACAGGTCACCCAGCCAACATGTCCAGAGAACTCTATCAGGCTGAGGCGGACCTGCCCTGTTTACTTCTTTTCTTTTCGGAGATGCAAAAGAAGTCAAGCATTTCCAGGAGTCCACCTGCATTTAACACCTTCATTTCACATGTCCTTTGCAAGGTGCTTGCCAATGAGTGCCTGGCAGCAGCCAGGGCCTCACATCTCATTTGACGTAATGTTGTTCACCGGATGTTTATCCATTTCACTTGTTGCTTGAGGACAACCCAAGCGTTGCCAATGCCGTCGAGCTTCTCCGGCTGCTGCAGGCTGGCTTGCGGGGCAGTCTTCGTCAGTGGTTGTCAAAGGAGCTGTGCCAACTACAGTGATGCTCAATAGACACTGGGAGCAATCGTGATTTACAGCGCTATCAAGCAAGCAGCGTGGCCAACCGGTCCGGGAAAACTAACGCACATGTGTGATGTCCACAGAATCAGGGCCTTGGTTTCAGATCTCTTCTCAGCCGACGGAAGCCACACTGTCAGCTGCTAACTAGCTGCTTCAAGGCGAACTGCCATGAGCTGGCCGAGGATGCCTTGCAGCAAACTTAGCGTCAAGCCGGCAAGGCATTGATGGCTTGGACCACTGACGCAGAGAGATGCTCCATGTTTTCAAGCTGGCTCGATGCTCAAAGCCCAAGCAGAACATGCTAAATCTTTCAGTTGCCTCATCGCTATCATGCAATACGTTGAGGGAACATGCTGCCACGAATGGAATGTGCCTTGTTGAGGACAGTTTGAGACTTGGGCTTGTTGGGAGATGCGTGTATGAGTTGAACAGGAAACAGAGCTGTTTTGAATGGAGGCCTTTCTACGCTTTCGCCATTGCACGATTCTTGCGTGATGCAGAAGGTGCAAGAAGCGAAGCAAGCACAGCAAAATGTGTGTCGCGTTTGAAGTAAGCGCCAGCACGGAACCGATATATGAGTGTGAGGGCACGTTTTGATTCCTTGATCGAGTGGCCATCTTTAAGTTCGCTGAGGCACTCAGTTGCTCCCCCCGTTTGTGCAATATTGGCAGAGGGGACTTGCCGAGGCTGTGGACCTCCGCCAAGTTAGACAAGAAGCTGCAGGCCGGATCGGGCACGTGAGCACAAACGCAAGTATCCGGGCGTCCGGCATCACAAGACGCTTAGCCAGGGCGCATTCACGAGACGTTTACCTTGCCGCTTTGGGTGCGCGGAGCAAGAAACGTCCGCTGCGCGCCGTGCCAATCCTGGCAGGTGCAGCTGGAAGATGCTCTCAGCGTGGTGAGCCATGCCCCTGGAGTGCTTTTCAACTCAGGCTTCAGAACTTCACTCTGTTCACGTGAGAATCGAACATTCTTTGAGAATCAGCTGTAATTCGGCAGCGAGGTGCAACACTACCACCTTGGACAACGACTTTGCTCGGTTCTCAGAGGAAGCAATCCATTCGTTGTTAGATTTGTTGGGCTATGAGGGATTTTTCATTGGGAATGCAGTTTGAAGGATTTATTTGGCCATCCAACGGACGCTATGGATCAGCTGTTGTTTGGAGGGTCTTCAGAGCAAACGTCGTTCAGACAGACTGTGTGGTGCGCCAAGGCCTCGGCTGTGCCCATTCCTCCTGAGTCTGGAAGCGCGAAAGAAACTGCGGCGCCCCAAGTGCAGAATATGTTGAAGTCCGGTGCACGCGATACCAGTCAGAGCAAGTCGTGAGCGGAGTCAACCGGCAACTGTAGGTTGAAGTACACCGCTTTTGGACCTTCCTTTGCTATCCACTGGGTGCAGGAACACAAGGCTTGAAAATGACGCCTGTTGAGCATTCATGCAGTCAGTTTGGCAGTAGGTTGACGGACTTTGGTGTGCGCAGGTTGGATCCCTGATGCAGCGACGAGCCACAGTGCAAACTGAGCTGAATTCTCAAGCAGATCCCCGGAAGATTCAGGAGCTGTACACTTGACCGCTTGGGATATGTGGAGAAGCCTGTCACAGCATGTATTCTGCATGGCGCGGTGTATGATCACAGGAGTTGTCACAAGAACTCTCCAACTTGGAGGAGCACGTTGTCAGGCCGGGGTTCTTCTGGAAAAGCCAATATGGGCTAGAGCAGCTTTGTGCACCGTCTCAGGTCCAGCAACTGGCTTGGCACGCTGGTGCCTGAGGTCTTAGACATGCCAGCTGCATCATAACACTGCAAAGCCAAGGTTGCAAAGCACCCTTGTCAAGGTTTCCAAGGGCGACTTGCTCCTCAGGCTGGGACAAGATGGCCAACAATGAAATTACATTGTCATATTTTTGTCTGGCTGCCAGGCAATCAGAGGTGGCGATGGACCTTTTGTCTGGTTCTGGCCACTTGTTGGAGGCGGCGCTGTGTTAGTCTGCTTTGAAGTTTGTGCTAATGTTGAAGCCTTGGGGATTGTTTTGGGAGATACAAGCGCATGGCCGCAAAAGTTGCAACGCCATGTGACAGTGAGAGGTGCAATTCGACGGGGAGACCGGCTTTGGCAGCGCAGTCACCCAATCCTTCTATGTTGAGGCACGTCTTGGGGGTGTATGGAACTTGCGGAGAGTGAATCAAACCTGTTGTTTGTGATATTTTTACGTGTCAGGCTGGTTTGGTTCTCTTTTGTGCCTCTTAGGCCAGTAGCTTGATGCGCTAAGCATGTTCTCCACCAGTTATGTGTTTTTGCCCTCCTGACTGCTTGCGGTCCTTGGAGAAAAGCTCATGAATGATTTGCCACTTCTCTGCTTTTCACATCTTTTCGCCAAGAATCCCGTGCTGACCGATGCGCTGCCGCAGGTAAGCATGGCCTTGCAGGACCGAGAACTGAACCGGCAGATCCCGTTGTGGGTGGAGGCAGGGGCTCCCGAAGTCCCTTTCGGATCTCGTCCAGATTTTGGGCGACATCGTGCGGTCCTGGTCACCAGACTTGAAAAGTCCAAACTGAGGATGATGGCTCTTCATGCACGCCTTACTTGCTTAGCAGCGCTCTCGGCCACCAGAAAATGATTGCTGGCTGGTGCAACATGTCGACATCTCATTGGCTTATGGGTTGGACAGTTTTGCATGGTGTTCATTTCAGAATCATTTGGTCAACATGTTCACTGCCGTTGAGGAGCACTGCGAAGGATAGGTGCCTTCCTTCGACCAAGGTCGCCGGGGTCTGTTGATCCGCCCCGTGGCCGAGGGCCCACTTAGAGAGGCTGCGTGTCAGAGGCATGCCCGCAGGGCTGTTGGCTCACCGGCAAAGCATCAATCTAAGTCTGGATATGTGTTTACGGAACTCGTGCAATGGGCCAGGTTTCGTTTCCTTGGTCGGTTGATGGGCCCGGAGCTTAGCGCAGCATAGTATATATTTTCCCGAAAGCATCGCGAAGGGTTCTTCCGTGCGGAGCCCTTGGACAAGTTACATAGAGCCAAGTTACATAGAGCCAAGTGACATGCAGCCAAGTGACATAGAGCCAAGTTACATAGAGCCAAGTTACATAGAGCCAAGTGACATAGAGCCAAGTTACATAGAGCCAAGTTGCATAGAGCCAAGTTACATAGAGCCAAGTTACATAGAGCCAAGTTACATAGAGCCAAGTTACATAGAGCCAAGTTACATAGAGCCAAGTTACATAGAAGTTACATAGAGCCAAGTTACATAGAGCCAAGTTACATAGAGCCAAGTTACATAGAGCCAAGTTACATAGAGCCAAGTTACATAGAGCCAAGTTACATAGAGCCAAGTTACATAGAGCCAAGTTACATAGAGCCAAGTTAGACATAGAGCCAAGTTACATAGAGCCAAGTTACATAGAGCCAAGTTACATAGAGCCAAGTTACATAGAGCCAAGTTACATAGAGCCAAGTTACATAGAGCCAAGTTACATAGAGCCAAGTTACATAGAGCCAAGTTACATAGAGCCAAGTTACATAGAGCCAAGTTACATAGAGCCAAGTTACATAGAGCCAAGTTACATAGAGCCAAGTTACATAGAGCCAAGTTACATAGAGCCAAGTTACATAGAGCCAATACATAGAGCCAAGTTACATAGAGCCAAGTACATAGAGCCAAGTTACATAGAGCCAAGTTACATAGAGCCAAGTTACATAGAGCCAAGTTACATAGAGCCAAGTTACACAGAGCCAAGTAGAGCCAAGTTACATAGAGCCAAGTTACATAGAGCCAAGTTACATAGAGCCAAGTTACATAGAGCCAAGTTACATAGAGCCAAGTTAGAGCCAAGTTACATAGAGCCAAGTTACATAGAGCCAAGTTACATAGAGCCAAGTTACATAGAGCCAAGTTACATAGAGCCAAGTTACATAGAGCCAAGTTACATAGAGCCAAGTTACATAGAGCCAAGTTTAAGTTACATAGAGCCAAGTTACATAGAGCCAAGTTACATAGAGCCAAGGTTAGGTAGAGCTTAGAGCTTCGGCGTTAGCAGCTATGTAAGTTAGTTTAGGTTTCTAAGGCGCCGGGGCGGGAGTTTGATCGTCGCTCGGGATTGCGACCCTCTGCGGAGATTCGCGTGGTCGAGGTTCAAAAACTGGGACTTTTTACGATTTTTAGCATGCGCGCGCGACCCTCTGCGGAGATTCGCGTGGTCGAGGTTCAAAAACTGAGGACTTTTTACGATTTTTAGCATGCGCGCGCGACCCTCTGCGGAGATTCGCGTGGTCGAGGTTCAAAAACTGAGGACTTTTTACGATTTCTGCGGTGCGCGCGCGACCCTCTGCGGAGATTCGCGTGGTCGAGGTTCAAAAACTGAGGACTTTTTACGATTTCTGCGGTGCGCGCGCGACCCTCTGCGGAGATCGTGCGCGTCGAAGCGCTCTCGCTGTGGCGCCGTGCGAATTTGTCTTAGTCTCGGCGAACCCTCTGCGGAGATTGTGCGTGTCGAAGCGCTCTCGCTGTGGCGCCGTGCAATATTCTTGCTCGCGAAACGGCCTTTGGAAGTTGTCTCGTGGTTTGCGCGCCTGCTTTCGCAATCCCGCGGTCGCGGGTTCGATTCCCCCCTGGTCCGCGGCAGCTCCGGCTTGAAAATCGCAGCTTTTAAGTACAAACGTAGTACGCGGAGCGTGCTCCTGCAGCTCCGGCTGGAAAATCGTAACTTCTAAGTACAGACGTAGTGTGCAGAGCATGCTCCCGCAGCTCAGGCTGGAAAATCGCAACTCTTAGGTGCAAACGTAGTACGCGGAGCACACCCCCGCAGCTCCGGCTTGAAAATCGCAACTTTTAAGTACAAACGTAGTACGTGGAGCGTGCTCCTGCAGCTCCGGTTGGAAAATCGCTATTTTTAAGTACAGCGTAGTACGCGGAGCACATTCCCGCAGCTCCGGCTGGACAATCGCAACTTTTAAGTACAAAAATAGTACGCGAAGTACATTCCCACAGCTCCGGCAGCACTTGCGCAGAGCAACTTGCACAGAGTCACTTGCGCAGAGCAACTTGCGCTCTGCGAATTGCACAGAGCACTTGCACACAGCACTTGCGCAGAGCAACTTGCACAGACCAACTTGCACAGACCAACTTGCACAGAGCACATGCGCAAAGCGCTCGCGCGGAGCAACTGGCGCAGAGCACTTGCGCAGAGCAACTTGCTCAGAGCGCTTGCGCAGAGCAACCTGCACAGAGCACCTGCGTGCATCAGCGTGCAGAGAGCAACTTGCCCGAAAGCAGCCTGGAACAACGCAGCTTGCGCAGACCACTTTCGTGAGAAATCATGCAGCGCAACTTGAGCAAAGCACATTGCGCTGAGCAGACTCGCGCAGAGCCACGCTTTATAGAGCCAAGTTGCGCAGAGCCACTCGCGTAAAGTAGCTTGCGCGCGCCAGGTAGCAGCGCGCCAAGTTGCGCAGAGCCATCTTGCGCAGAGCTAAGTTACACGAGCCTGCTTTGCAGAAACATACGCCTTCATGACATAGCGATTTTTGTGTCCGACTCGGGCAGGAGCCGGTTGCTATTGGCCGGTTGCTATTTTTTTTGCGGTCTCTAGCTGCCACAGCATCGTCAACATCACCAGCATCACCAGCTTTTTGGAAACCCCCCGCGCGCGGCAGGCAGTAGCGCGCCAAGTTGCGCAGAGCCAAGTTACATAGAGCCCAGTGGCACAGAGCCGAGTGGCACAGAGCCAAGTTGCACAGAGCCAAGTTGCACGGAGCCAAGTTGCACAGAGCCAACTTGCACAGGGCCAAGTTACATAGAGCCAAGTGACATAGAGCCGAGTTACCATAGAGCCAATTTACCATAGAGCCAAGTTACATAGAGCCAAGATACATAGAGCCAAGTTGCACAGAGCCAAGTTGCACAGAGCCAACTTGCAAAGAGCCAAGTTACACAGAGCCAAGTTGCACAGAGCCAAGTTGCACAGAGCCAAGTTGCACAGAGCCAAGTTGCACAGAGCCAAGTTGCACAGAGCCAAGCTGCACAGAGCCAACTTGCACAGGGCCAAGTTACATAGAGCCAAGTGACATAGAGCCGAGTTACCATAGAGCCAATTTACCGTAGAGCCAAGTTACCGTAGAGCCAAGTTACCATAGAGCCAAGTTACATAGAGCCAAGATACATAGAGCCAAGTTGCACAGAGCCAAGTTGCACAGAGCCAACTTGCACAGAGCCAAGTTACATAGAGCCAAGTTACATAGAGCAAGTTACATAGAGCCAAGTTACCATAGAGCCAAGTTACATAGAGCCAAGTTACATAGAGCCAAGTTACATAGAGCCAAGTTACATAGAGCCAAGTTACCATAAAGCCAAGTTACAAAGGGCCAAGTTACATAGGGCCAAAAGCACATGATGGGAAGCGCTTGGGGAAAAATGCTTTCGGGCCAATCGTCCTCTAGTTTTTTTTACAGTGAAGGGACTAAAGGGATGGTAGTAGAGCATAAGCATCATGCAGCACTGAAGATCAGAACAAAGATGGACGCACCTGCTCAGTTGATGCAGTAGTGTCATGCACCTCAGTTGCATAGGTCATGCGCTACGGGATGGCTTCATAGCTCCGTTGCCCTTGACGGAGGCATACTGTTGAGCTGCAATTGGCATTTGAGCAGCCCATGCTTGCCACATCCCGACACGAGTCATATCTGCAATGCCCGAGATTCCCAGCTCGAATAGCTTTCTTATGGCAAAGACAGGCTTTTGACACCTTATACAACAAACGTGTCACTCTGGAGAACACAGCGGAGTCAGATCTGATAAGTCTGCGATACTTATTAGGATGCATGATGATAACGGCAACCTGAAGACACACATACACACACACAGACATGCGGACAAACACGAAGAACATGTGGCAGTCAAACCTTCTCGCTCTGCAGAAGCTCCGTTGGGTCTGGCTCATCGTGTATTGCATGTGTATTGGCCAGGATTTTTTCGCGCTGGTCCTTGGACAGCGATTGGGCCTGCAGCTGAAAGCCGGAAGTCACATGAGACTGCAGTCACATGAGACTGCAGCGCATCGCTCCCAAAAAGAAGTGAGGTGTGAATTCTTGATGTTCTTATTTAAGGGCTGCCGCCCTGTGCCACCGACCCCGGCTTGCTGACAGGGGACGTTGTTACACAATTATGACTACGATTTTTTGTCGTGTTTAACGGCACACTTAACGCATATATGCAAAAGAAGAGCACCACTATAGTGATGGTGCTTTTGATGACGGAAATTATTACCCAACATTAGCTATGCCGACAATTATTACTCTGCATTCGCATTATCGCCATCAGTTATGATGATAATTGTTACTTTGCATTTTTGGCATCACCAGCAGTTGTTATGATAATTATGACGATGCATTCCCTGCATCTCAAACAATCTACTGCAGAAATAATTCGCATGATAATGAGCACCTTGTTGGATTTTACCAGAAGTGCTCCCGGCGTGTGGAAGCTTTTTTTGGATCGCACGACTTCGTTGTATTGCTGTGGATGGTCGTTAGGAGCACCTCGGGATGCAATCATCCTGATGATACTCATCGCTACGCATCCCCACAATTGCCGCATCAGAAGCAGTTATCTCATGACTACGCATCACCTGCATTCCAAGTCGGGTCTAATGGCGCACTTGAAACGTAAATGAAAAGAAGAGCGCCACGGTAATGATAATGATCCGGATGCTGCGAACCATCACCCAACATCAGTGGTGATGATAATCATCACTAAGACAAGGACGAAGACAAACCCTTCCCATGCGCCTCCCCTTTGGAGAAAGGGCCAAGAATCTCTGCATGTTCTTGCATTGGCAAATGCAGCTGTTGGCTCGCCACCTAAGGTGTCAAGAACCTTCCCGAACCAGGGGCAGGTCTTGCTGGTGAGCTGCTGGGTGGCCTCGAACGCATTCAGAATTCCTCCGGAGAAGCGAGCTGTTGAGCATTTCGATGCAACGTTGACATGGTTTGTTCAGCTCAATCGGTGTCCAAAGTCCAATTGGATGCTTGTAGCTATAAAGCGCCGCGTGCTTTGACCATCCGCTTTTTTCTGCAATCCTGCCGCTCAGGAGCTTTGGCAAAATTCGCAGAGCACCTGGCTGTTGGCCGAAAACATGGCAAAGGCGACTTGTGGCGTCAGGAACAGGCGGGCAAACTGCGTGGCAATCCTTGTCATGGATGATGAATATCTCTGAGCTCGACCTAAAGGCAAACCTGCCCGACTTCACCAGCCGATACCTTGCCACAGATGCAGGCACCTGCACCACAAACACACCACTTCGGCACTTACCGGCTGTGTTGCTGCAGGCGCTGCGGGAATAGAGAGCAAAGTGGAAGTGACAGAGTCGTCAGGGACTTGACTCTTGCTCAGAAAGCGCAGCATTAGTATGGTACGCAGGTCTGAGCAGCAGCTCTCTTTGGATGACTATCTGAAGCTCTTGGGTGTCAGCTTCCTGGAAACAGGCGCACTGCTTAGCCCACGCATGCGCCATGCTTCCAGCTGTCTCAAGGGATGGCCTTGCACAGGCTTGAGCGGAGCTTCTCTGTGTCCGGGTGGCGAAAACGTGCCAGTGACTCTGGACAATCTCGAAGAATTCTTGGAGCAGGAGGGTCAAGAGTCACAGGGCTCCGCTCGGCAACCTTCATGGAAGCGCAACGCATGGTAGGCAGCCACCTTCTGGTTTGACACCGGGGTACGAGCACAGGTCACAGCCCTGGAGTGACCTACCATGCACCAGCAGTGTGGAGCTGACTCAGGTGGATGCATTTAGGGCCGGCCTCAACGAAATTCTACCAGTGTGGAGCTTGAGGGTGTAGCAGTGTAGAGTTGGTTTTGAGT